GAGAACTAAAGCCGCTACTAGTAAGTTACTAACCTAGATAAATTACTTATCTAGTAAGTTAGTTAGGGTCTTTTAGAAGACTAATAGCTTGTCTCTTAACATACTATATAAAGGCCTTTATAAGATCTTCTATTCCTTTTTATCTGTCTTCTTAATCTTAATAGTATAATTAACTAACTTACTATAAAGTAGTAGTAACTTCTTTACTTTTATACAATTAAATAATAAAAAGAACTCTTAGTACTAGGTAAGTAAAAGAAGTTAATAGTCAGACTTCTTTTTAGTAGCTAGGGCCTTCTAGATATTAGCTATACTTACTAAGAAGACCTAGAGCTTCTTCTTTCTCTCTCTTTATTATATAGTAGACATAAACCTAGCTACTAATAATATTACGTAATTTAAGGGTTTGTCTAGGTTAATAGTCTAGTTTCTAACTTATATACTAGATAAACTAATTACTAATTCTGACCTTTTTAGACTTAAGTAGACGTTATACTATATTATCTAAGAAAGGCTAAGGATAACGTTATATAACACTAGGTTTAGAACTACATAAAAGTAGCTTTTCTCTTTTACGTAGCTGTTAATATTAGTATTAACTACTACGACCTTATTAATTATACTCTTTAATAGCTACTTAAAGCCGGTAATTATATAGAGGCTATAACTAATATACTAAAGATAGTGTTTTTAAGTAAAATAAGAGTCTATTAGTCTATATAATAAGTAACTTAAATCTACTAGTATATAAGTAAAACATTCTTTATTAACTAATATTAATACTAAGAAAAAAAGGTAATCTATTACCTTCTTCTTAAACCTTTACTAGTCTTAGTCTTATGCCTTCTTTACCTTTCTTTTTTACTCTTATTTATACTTTTAAATAAGAGCTACTTGTTTTCTAAGTTCTTTTCTTTTACTACGTTCTCTTTGTCTAATAGTTCCTTAATAGCCTAGTATATTATTGTATATAGCCTTAAGGTAGATACTATAGCTATTCTCTTAGGTTAGGTTAAGCTATTAGGTCTTTAAGCTAGTAGTAAGTAACATTCTTAGGTAAAGTAGTCCTTACTACTATATTATAAGTACTCTCTAGCTATATAGTACTAACTAATAACCTTATCTAATACTTACTAAGCTCGCTACTATTATTATAAACAAGTAGTAGTAACCCTTGTTATATAAGTTAGTTCCTAGTCTATCTAGTCGTTAGGCCGGTTGTTCTTTAAGAGTAAGGTATAGTAGGCCTTAGCTTAGTAGCCTGTCTGTCTTTATCTAGGCCTCTTAATAGTGTTAAGGTTATAGCTTATAGTCTTTAAGAGCTTATAAAAGTCTATATATAACATAAGTATGTCTTAGGCCGTAATTACTAGCTTAAGCTTATCTAATATACTACTCTTTAAGAAGGACTTCTTTACGTTATTATCCTAACTTAGGCCTCTAGCCTTTAATAACGTACGCTTAAAGTCTACTAAAAATACTATAAAACTCTAGTTTCCTTACTCTAACTTATATAACTATATCTTAGCTAACTCTCTTAACTTTATATTATTAAACGCTTACTAAAGTTACTTTAATAGCTTAAAATCTATCTTCTTCTTAACTATTAGTCTGTTTTATACGTTTAACCTAACCTAAAGAGTAACTTAGGTTAAGGCCTTACTTACTAGTTAGCTATAAATGTACTAGAATCGTATAGTTAGTATATTAAAGGTAAGGTCTACTATAAGTTTAGCTTTAATTACTAAACGCTATATAGTAAACTAGGCCTTAGTTTTATTAAACATAGTAGTATTTAGAAGGAGCCTCTTTTACTACTTAGCTAGCGGCTTAGCTAGTAGCCTTATAAAGGTAGTAGTAACAAGTAATAGCCTTAGGACTATAGATAAAGGCGTTAAGGTAGCTAGGATTAGTATAAAGAGTAGTAGGTTAGTGTATTAGGCTACTTAGGCTTAAAGCTATTATACGACTTGTTTTAACTACTCTACTTTATACTCTAGTTATTCTCCTTAACTCTATCTAGTAGATAACTACTCTTAGTTATCCTGTCTTATAGACAAGCTAGTAAAAGGTGTCTAAAAACTTATTATTAGGTAGTCTAGCTTTATCTTATACTCTTATATAATAAAGCTATAAGAAGCTCTAATTAGATAGAAGGAGTAAGAGTATTTTAATGTTAGGGGCTAATAACACGATACTTAAGTAAATGTTAGTTTTATTCTATAAGAAGAATACTCTAAAGAGAAAAGAAAGGAAAGGGTTTATATAAGGTAAGAAGTAGGTAGAAGAAAACTCTACTACTAGGGCAGGGTAATAATAGTCTAGTTAGTTACGTACTTAGCACTAACCCTTTACCGGGTTCTAACCTGTAACACCTAGTACTCTAAGTAGCAAGACATTTTAAGTAATAAGGTTAAGTAAACAGTAGAAATAAATAGAACTAAAGAATATAACTATAGAAACAGTTAAGTCTCTAAGAAAAAAGAAGTAGACTTTCTAAATAAGAAATTAAGCTTAAGATAAGAACTAGATCCTAGAACTCTTACTTAATTGTTTAAGTAAGAATTGCCTTTAGACTAGCGTAAAAGCTAGTTCTAGGTATTTAGTAGTTAAACAAAAGGGTTTTTTACCTAAATAAAGGGTGTTTAACTACCCTAATCTATAGGCTAGCTATCGTTTAGGTTTAGGGTCTTAATATCTACTAGATTAAGTAATTTAATAAATTTAATGTGTTTCTAGTATAGTAAGGCCTTAGTTAACCTATCTACTAGTATATTATAAGTTAATAGCTACTATAGACTAAGTCTCTCTTTAGTTACCTCTTAGTGTAGCTAGTATTAATAGATATCTATATACTTAAGCTTAGTAACTAGGCGTAGAGTTCTTAATTATATAAGGCAGATAGTTTAGGCGTTATCTATATTAATAGTAAACTCTTTATATAATTTTAATAAGATCTTAGTAAAGAAGCGTCTTTACTAGTAGAGATCCTTAGTAGCGTAAGACAGGGCTAAAAGCTTAGCTTTTATACTTAATATAGTAACTGTCTTTTGTTTAGAGGATTTCTAATTAATAAGGCCTCTAAACAAGTAAAACATATATCCTTTAGTACTTCTTCTAGTTTCTAAGTCGTTAGTATATACTATATTACTAGTATAAAAGAACGCCTATTCTAATCTATTACTACCTCTAAATTAGATTCTAAGAAACCAGGTTTTATAAAGGTATTAAATAACTCTTTTTATAGTATGTAGATAATTAGAAAAAGGGTTTAAAAGAAACTTAGAGAGCTTGTTAGTTACTCTAATAGCGTTAGGTCTAGTAACAATAGTTATATAGAGAATTAAGCCTACTTTTCTCTAGTAGCTATAGATCTCTTAAGGAGAGGCCTAGCTAAGGTTTAAGACTAACTTTATAGTTAATATAAGTATTAAAGGAACGTTCTTCTCTTTTACTCTTAAGTAAAAGGTTAAAGTAATTAACTTAATATAAGAGTCTTAACTTAACTATATCTGTCTAGTAGTTCTGTCTCTAGTTACTTAGATACTTAAGAACTACTTTAATCTTCTTATATTACGTATCTTATAAGTACTAAACAGGCTTTGTTTAAAGGTTTAAAGGTATTATTAATATTCCTTCTTTACTAAGATAATAATATTATCTATATAAAAGAAGATAATAAGGTATTTATTTATATAAAGATACTTAGCCTCTAAAACTAGATATAAGCTAAGCTTAGCTAGTGTTTTAGTAAAGTAAGTATACTATAAGAAAGGGAAATAGTGTAGCCTATAAAGAGCTTTAAGAAGAAAGAGAACATACTCTAAGTTATTAAAACCCTTAGGATATTTAATATAGATAGTCTTATTTATATTACTATTAGTAAAGGCATTTATAGCGTTAAGCTAGTAGATCTCTAGATTAAAGTAACAAACTATTATTATTAAGTCTTTAAAAACCTATAACGCTAGAGTAGTAGTGTAGTTATCTTAGCTAGTAAGATGTTAAAGATTACCTCTAACTATAAGTCTAGCCTTAAATTTATTAAGAAAGCTATCTATATTAAATTTATATATAAATACCTACTAGACAAGGATTATATTTACTTTAGATATACTCTTAAGTATAGTCTTAAAGGTCTTATGTCTTTTAAGATCCTTATACTCTTTTAACGTAGCTATTATAAACTTATCTTAATATAGATAAGTTTAAACCTTCTTCTAGTATTTAAGAGTAGATAGAAGTTTAGTCTTATAGATCCTTCTTTTAGTATGTTCTGTTCTTACTTAAAAGGTAGTATAAAACCTACTATAGGCTTTAATTTTCCTTATTTAGATAGTATAGGCTTTATGCCTGTCTTGTTAATTCTATGTTCTTATTAAAAGGATATTTACTAAATTTAAGCTAGTAGAATTAGAGCTACACTTATAATGTTAGTTCCTTAGTTTAGGTTCTTATGTTTTATCCTCTAGCTCTACCTTATTAGTAACAGTTGTCTCTTAGTCTACTCTAGTTATAGCCTTATTTATATCCTTATTTATAACCTTATTAATATCCCTAGTTATAGTTTTAGATAAGTCGATGTTTAGAGAAGGATTTATATATATAAAAAGAGTAGTTAGAACAGGTAACGCTCTTAGCGTTAAGAGAGGATTAGTAACAGGATTGTTAACAAGATTATTAGTAGTATCTACTAATAGATTAATAGTAGTTTTAGTAATAGTATTAGTTGTTATTAAAAGAGTTGTTATTATTATTATTTAGACAGGATTTGTTAAATATATTAGTTCTATAGCTAGTAGGTTAGGTAACGTTTCTTTCTTAATAAGATTAAAGAGATCGTCTTCTTCTTTAATTTACTAGTTATATTTACTAATTACTAGTATTTTAATAGCTTTAATTACTTTTTTAGTAGCGTCTTGTTTATCTTAAGGCTAATACCTTTAGGATTTATTAAATATAACATCTCTAGCTAATATTACCTTATTTCTAGCTAGAATCTAGACCTTAAATATATTAGTAGAGTTATATTCTACTAGGTATCTAACAAAAGCTCTTAGTTCTAGCTTATCTAGGCGTACTATGTTTTTAATTAAGGCGTAGGCTTTATAGCTAAAGGCGTAGAGGTAAGAGAGGTTTAGTTTAGAGTAGTAAAAACACTTATATAGTGTTTTCTAGCCTAAAGAGGTAATAAGAGATCTGTTTACTAGGTATCTAGCTGTTTTTATTAGTTTAGGCTATAGCTTTAATAGTAAGTTAGATCTTATTTTTAGTACTCTTACTCTACTAAGAAGTACTCTCCTAAATCTTTTAATTAGCCTATTTTAGGCTACTATACGTAGTACTAATTATTTAATAATAAAGCCTTTTACCTCTATCTAATTATTAAAATCCCTTTTAAGAGACGTTTCTTTATTAAGCTTAATCTAGTAGACTTTAGCGTTAAAGTGTCTTTTAATTAAGAAAACAAAGTGTTATATAGTAGCTAGAGAGCCTTGTTTAGTTATAAAGATATATATAAAGCTTATTCTAGTAAGATTATTAAGAAAGTAAAAGATATATACTTCTTTAAAGTCTATTAAGTACATTTAAATAAGATCTAGGTAGATTCTAGTAAACGGTTTGTCTATATACTTAATAAGAGCTCTAGATATAATCTGTTTAGCGTTTACTAGATAACAAACCTTATATAGTAGGATTAGGTACTAATCCTTAGGTACTAACTTAACTCTTTTAGTACTAGTAGCTAGGCGTTAGATTACCTCTATATATAAGTACCTTATCTGTTTATACTAGAGTTTAACTAACGCTTTTAATAGTGCTCTTAGTAGGTATAAGTTAGCCGGAAAGGCCGCTAAAACAGCTATTAATTTAATAGTTAATATAACTGTTACTACTAGTTATAGCTTATATTTAATTAGTTTAGGTATAAAAACAGATATAAAAACAGATATAAAGACAATAGGTATAAGGATAACAATAGTAAAAACAGTTAAACTAGAAGTACTTTTAATATAAGAAGGTTCTTAAATAGTTAAAAAGGTAGATCTAGTAGTAGTACTATTATATTCTAATACTTATTAGTTAAACCTAACTAAGGTATAACAAAAGGTATTGTTTTAATAAGTAAGACAGTTTCCTTTTGTATTCTAGTAGACTCCTTTCTTAATTATCTTATATAAGGATACTATACTAGTATAAAAAGAGAGGACTAGGGCTACACTCTTAAGATCTATACTAAACTAGCCTTTTAGGCCTTATAGTTAGATCTTAATATCTCTAAAAGCCTTAATTTAGATATAGTCTTTACTAGTAATAAGTACGCTCCTTAGTAATACAGGCTAGATATTATAGAACCTTACTAGCTTATTATAAACATAAACTATTACTCTTAAGTCTAAGATAAAGCTATCTTTAAAGAGATAAGTAGGCTTAAAGGAGAGTAATTAGACTAAGTAGGCTACTAGAATTACTAGAGTTAATACTAAAATAAAGTAGCTAAAGTTAGCTTAAAAAGCTTTAGACATAAATATAAAGAAGTCTATAGTAAAAGCCTTAGAGACTTCTTTTTTCTTATCCTTTATAATTCCTTTATAGCTATTACTTTACTTCTTACCTTTACTACCTTCTTTCTACTTCTTAATTAACTTAATAGTAGCTTTAAGTTTACTATTAGCGTTTAATTAGTTATTAATCTTTTTTTAGACATCTTTTCTTAGTTTTTACTAATTAAGACGTTAGGTTAGTATTAAGTAATAGTAGTTATAGTAGTTATAGTAGCTACTATAGACATACTTTAGCTTGTTATTATTGTTATTATTACTACTACTACCTCTTCTACTAAGTATAGCGTCTATAGTTAAGAAGGCGCTATAGTGTCTAGATCTAGACACTCTAATATCTCTTTAGCTCTTAAGGTTAAGTTTAAACTTATCTAACACTTTTTTAAACGTTATTACTTTCTTTCTAAGTAACTTATAGTGTACTATCTTAATAAAGTATAGATTAACTTCTTTTAAGCCGTTAATAAAGGCCTTAATTAGTCTATTACTAGATACCTCTAGTATCTTATTAACTAAACAAGCTAGGTAAGTAGACTTAAAGTGTTCTACCTAAGCTATAACTAACTATCCTCTTCTTAGTAAGATACTAGCGTTAGTTAGATCTTATAAAAAGAGATCTTATTTAACTTTATTAAAAGGTATAACCTTTTACTAAAGATCTATTAAGATCTTATATACTATGTCCTTAGTATTAATATATTTAACGTATTTTCTCTTTACTAATCTAGTAATTAAAGAGCGTATATCTCTAACTAATTAAGCTAGGCGCTTATACTTTCTTTAGTGTTTAGAGTAATACCTTTAGTAAATATAATATTATTCTTTCTTATTGTTTATTAGTATAGTAAAACTATATAATTTAATAAAGTAAAAAAAAAAAAACTTTATAATAGTTACCTACGCTCTTAACTACCCTAAAAACTTAAAAACAAACGACAGAATCAAAATTAGTACCCTTAGATACTCTCTAGAGTACTAGTAGACTATAGGCAAGCCTATAGTAACAGATAGTAAGTATACTAGACTTAAACAAAGCTAGTACTACCTACTTATAAAAAGGAGCTAATACTCTTATTCCTTAATAAAAAGCTATAGTAAAGAGCTAGTAAGTAGTAAGAGTAGTATAGACAATAAAACAAAGTTAATCTTACGACAAATTAAGGCTTACGTAATACTAGGTAAGAAAGATAAAGCGTCGCGCCTTCTTTACGACCTTATTATAATAACAACAGTAGTAGTAAAGCTAAAAGTAGTAAACATAAAGACCTTTTTACGTACCTTTAAGACCCTTTTTAATAACGACCTAGTAACGATTAAGTAATTAAGAATAATGTTAAAAGAGGCCTTTTAGAGGCTAATAGTAGTAGCGGCCCTTTAGGCTACATATACGTTAGTAGTAGGCTAGTACCTAATAAGAGTATAAGTAATACTAGAGAGATAGATTAAGGAGCTAAGGATTAGAGTAGATAGACAGATAAAGGACCTAGTACGTTATAGCGCTATTAAAGTAGTAACGGCGGCTAATATAGTAATTAGAGGCGCTAAGGTAGTAGTAACTTACTAGCTTTTAAGTAGTAATACTATCCTTACCTTTAAAGAGGCTATACTAAAGACTATAATCTAAGATTAAGGCTAGGTATAAAGAGTGTTTAGGCCTATAGCCTAGCTTTATAAGAGTAAGTTTATAGTAATTATAAAGAGCCTACTAGTAGACTAGGTTATATAAGTAGAATTAAGAGCGTTACTAGTAGAGATCTAAGCTTATATACTACATGTTATAAAGGTTAAAGTTAAGCCTGTTAAGGCCTTTATAGTAAAGTTTATAATAATAGTACTATACCTTTAGAGCGCTAACGTAGTAATACACTTATATAAACAAGGGCTAATCTAGTAAGCCTAGATCTTTAACTATAAGCTATATTTAGCTAACCTACAAATCTAAAGATACTTTTAGTACTACTAGTTTAGCTACATTAAGAGGTTCTATAAGAACTAGGCCTAGTATAGCTACTACGTAAGAGTAGTATACCCTTAAGGTAAAGAAGAGTACTCTTAACTTAATAGTAGAAAGAGATACGTTAACTATAGTAGACTATATATAGCGTAAGACTATTAGTATCCTAAGGCCCTTAAGGTAAAAGAGTAGGTATATACTATATATTAGTAAAGACCTAAACAGTTTAAGGTATTAAAGAGTAGCTTTACTAGCTAAGTACTTAGCGTTATACTAGCGTTCTTATAAGATAGTAATAATAGCTACTAGGTTATAGTACCTAAGAGACTATAGACAGGCAATAATAAGAAGCCTATAGTAAGGACTCTAGTAAGGTATAAGCGCCCTTTTATTAGGGCGCTAGACATAGTAACAGTTAGAAGCTACGACATTATAAAGATGTTAAGCTAAGGAACTAACTAAGGGTCTAGTAACCTCTTTATAATATAAGACTTATAGATCTTAGACTCTTAGTAATAAAATTAATAATATTATTATTATTGTTCTTACTACTTATGCCTACTATATACAGAACCTTTATACTATATAAATTACGTAGTAAAACTATACTAAAGCCAGGTAAAAACCTACGTACTACTACTTACGTTTACACTATTATAGCGCTACTAGGGCGCTAAGTCTTTATTACTACCTTACTAGAACTTAACCTTCTAGCCTAGTAATACTAAACATACTAATAGGACGCTAGTAAGGCGCTAGTAAGGCGCCGGCTACTAGCTAGGGCTACTCTCTCTCTTATAACTCCTTTACTAGGTAGCGCTTAGCTAAACAGAACTATAAGAATTAGCTAGTAGATAGTAGCTAACAGATTAGTATATAAGTACTCTTACCTTTCTCTATTACTACTATAAAGTTATAGAACGTCTATAGTACTCTTAGGTAAAGTACTTACTATAAGGCCTGTTACTATTAATCTAGCTACTAGTAGTTAAGGACTAGGTAAGCTACTGTCTCTAGGGCCTTACTATAAGGGCACTAGAGGGTCGCTACCTCTAGTACTCTATACTTAAAAAAGAAAGCCTAGAGTCTAACTTTACTAGTATAGATTTGTATTAAAAGAGAGCTCTTATACTTATAAAAGAGTAGGTACTTCTTAAGGGCATTTACTAAAAGGACAGGTAGCGCGGCTAGGGCGGCGCCTTAGTAGTATACTAGTAAGCTATTGTATTAAGACTATTGTACCTTCTAGTTCCTTTATAAGGTCTCTTCTAAGAAGGAGTCCTTATACTAGTCCTTTACTTATATAGCTTAGCCTGTCTTATACTTAAGTAACGTATAAGGTAGCGCTATAGTAGCGCTATAGTAACGTCTCTAGCGTTATTAAAGACAGGCTACTACCTTATTATAGATAGACTATATAAGTTTACCCTTACCTATACATTTAAGACGTTATTTAAAGTCTACTACCTACTTGTTAAGGTAGAGGTTAAGTAAGGGCGTAGCTATTTTAGACTTAAGGAACTAGATAGACGTCGCCTAGTATACCTTTATAACGACGTAAAGGTACTATAACTACTTTATAGTAAGGTCCTTTACGATCTCTTTAGCTCGCTACCTAAAGGGGTAGTACTAGACTCTTACACTATATACTATAGTA